TCGATGCGCAAGCTCAAGAGCAAAAAGGAGTGAATATAGCTTTAGAGAAAGAAAGCTATATCCACTCCTTTTTAGAGAGAGAAAGCTCCTCAGTGGGGTTTTTATGGTTTTCCTCAGTATATACCTCCGTAGTGGTGTATATTGAACAGTGTATATGGAAATTTATAAACTTCATGGGAGATCTGGTATATGAGTGTGGGTGTATATGGAGTGAGGTATAAGGGAAATATAAACCAATATACAAACCTCGGCTTCGCCTCGGTTTGTATACAGGTTTATATTTCCCATATAATCAACTGGTTAGGTTATGAACTTAGAAGCGAAGCAACTTCATGGTTAGGTTATATTATATGCATACACTCCAGCGAAGGGTATATCCGACTTATACCTACCTCAGTCTGAATCCTAAAAAGGAGTATATATTAACAGTATTTATATACATGTGCCTCGTAGTTTTTCGTAGTACCATGATCCCGAATTCCACGTGTGAATGCAGTGTACGTTGGTGAGTACATCAAATTAGGGAAGTATGCATGTAATAAATGTGTTATTAGCCGAGTATCAGGGCAATACCGGCCGATATCTGCCCGAACGGCGTTAGCCGTGAGGGCAGATATCGTAGCCGGTATTGCCCGTACTACGAGGCTAATAACACATGTATTACATGCATACTTCCCTAATTTGATGTACTCACCAACGTACACTGCCTTCACACGTGGAATTCGGGATCATGGTACTACGAAAAACTACGAGGCACATGTATCCAACTGGTATTCCATGCGCACCTATGTACTTCCCATGTTTAGTTGATCCAATCACGGTACACTGTCATTCATATGGGCAAGAGTACATAGCCTTCCAAGAGTACCCCCGTGATATCAAAGAGTACAATACCCCCCCTCCCCTGGTGATACATGTATCCGTATTCTGATAAGTTTGGGTGCGACATTCATCACCGGCACCGTAGGCCAAACACCATGCATGCACCACAAACATGAGACTGGCCATGTGTACACACTCGCTTGCCTCAGCTCACACTTCCACTTGTACATGTAGTTCAAATTACAACAAACACATCGAAGCTTTTTATTTCTTCACAAAGTTGATTGTGCAGTTGTTGAAAGTGCATGTCTTGAAAGCTGAAGGCATTGCTGCAGGCATTTCCTGGTGGCATTCGAGTTCATCCAGCTCTTTCTGGGACGTCTGAGACAGGATCAGATCAAGATCATCATCCCCGTCATCATCCTGGATGGAAGGCGTGGCTTGGCGTGCTCGCTTAGCCGGAGGCGTTGAAGATGCAATGGATGCTGATGATGATGCTCGCTTTGCACATGAACGTTGATCCAGTAGTGCTGCTGCGTGTAGCTTGTCCTCTTCAGATGGCTGGTCATAAGACGCAAGACTGGCGCTGGACCTGTGCTTCGAAATGCCCATAACAGTGGACGGTGCTAGACCCTGTCGAAGAAGCTCAGTGATGCAGCTGGCTCTCACCGAGTGGCTCGTGTACTTTACGGTTAGTCCAGCGGCTTCTGATATTTGTGTCATCATGGAGCCGAGGGTGTTCTTGCCCAGCGGCTTGCCATTGTACCATGTATCTCTCTGACGGGTTGCTGCTGATACTTGCTGGAACAATCTTGTTTTCTCTCCTGTACCCTTCGTTAGCTTGGAGGTATACAAGTTGAACGCACTCACTTGAAAGCTGTCCACGATCCTACCATCGGACACTTCGTCAGCGGAGGTAAGGGAACCCAGGTGATTTTTTTCTTTGTGGGCAGTGGTCATACGGATGTAAGTTGTTGTGCAGTCAGACTTGACAGTTTCGAAGTCCTCTATGCACAGACTTGATTGGTTTTCCCGACCTCTCATACAGAAATGCTTGGTCACAACAAACCAAATGAATCTCGAAAGCCTAAGCGGATCATTGGTGCAGTCTGTGAAGTACTTGTCCAATCTTGTGTTGTCTTCTTCACTGATGGGGGGCTTGTGACTGACCGCTTTCAGGTCACCGTCAGATTTCAGCTTCTTAAAGGGGAAGTAAAGGCAAAAATTAAAATTTCACCAGTTGTAGTCTTCGGGGTGCTGAGTCGAATGGTCTTGGTCCGAGAAAACTGAGACGCTCCCTTCCTACTTGAATCCCAATCGAACTCGCGCACTTCCACCGAAACTGGGTGACTGCGCCCTACTAGATGGGGATTTGTATGCAAAATGTCACTAAAAGCGCCATTTCGTTCTTATAAAAGCACGGATGACCGCGATTGGCCCATATGTTGTAGTCTTTTGGACGCTGAGTCGACTGGTTTTGGTCCCAAAAGGCTGCGATGCAGCGTTCCTCCTTTATTCCCAATCGAACATGGTTGAACAAGCGGTCACGTGCTCCTGGGTGCCCAAATCACCTGGTCACCACGCCAGCAGGCGACAAATTTCACACCAAGGTTCAACTCGAGTGACAGGAGTGCACCCAAAAAAGGTCAAACAGGCTAGTAAGTTGTACCCTGCAGGCACGGTGACCAGCTGACTGGTGTACGCAGGAGCACGTGACCGCTTGTTCAACCATGTTCGATTGGGAATAAAGGAGGAACGCTGCATCGCAGCCTTTTCGGACCAAAACAGTCGACTCAGCGTCCAAAAGACTACAACATATGGGCCAATCGCGGTCATCCGTGCCTTTATAAGAACGAAATGGCGCTTTTAGTGACATTTTGCATACAAATCCCCATCTAGTAGGGCGCAGTCACCCAGTTTCGGTGGAAGTGCGCGAGTTCGATTGGGATTCAAGTAGGAAGGGAGCGTCTCAGTTTTCTCGGACCAAGACCATTCGACTCAGCACCCCGAAGACTACAACTGGTGAAATTTTAATTTTTGCCTTAACTTCCCCTTTAATGTACGCAGCAAACACTTTGTTGCACTCTACGAACTCAATGCCGGTTATGATGTTGATGTTACGATTGTGATTGTTTAGCTCACGTTGGATAGCGTTTCTAAACGACACTAAGCTGGATTTCGCCTTTCTGTGTTTTGAGCGAAACATACGCAAACTTCAAAATGCTGGCTAGATGTGAAGCTGAAACTGATTTCAGAGCACACTGCTTCTTCTCTGCCACAAGATAGTCACTGAACACTTTCAGCCAATTCTTTGTTGAATTCTTTGTGTTTTTGTTTTCCTGTTCCCACAGCATCTTCTCAACATCTTCCTCGCTCACTCGCACAAATCGTGAGTTGACAGCTCGTTCACGGACACCATGTTGTGTCTCAACTCGAACGACGCTGGTAGCTTGAACTTGGTTGATTGGTTCACCGTCCAAGTCAGCTAGCATCTCCGTCAGGACATCCGGGTGTACGTCCAATATTTGAGACACATCGTCAGGAAGATCAGACAGAAGTCCTTCTTCCTCAGCCATCGTCAGCGCTCCTTCACACTACAAGTAACAATAAAACCTTTTTGGTGGTGTTGTTTGCTTTGTTGGTATGTGCAGCGGTGCAGAAGTGAAAGGACCCGGGGTGCGGAGGGGGTGTGGTGGGTGCGGAGGGCCTGGGTAGCTATGGCAATTATGGGCGCGCAAGTGGCTACCCAGGCCAACGGAACAAAAGGAGACAAAAGGTGAGTACGCGAGTGCATGCAGGCCAGCTAGGAAAGGTACGGGAGGAGGTACCTAACAATGCAACCAGAGCTCTGCGTAATGGGCACAGGGAACTCGTACAAGTCAAAATCAGAATCCTTACTGGGCAGAAGGAAACATGTACAATGATGTATGGCTCAAACGGATCCCTTTCAGGAACCGGGCTTCCGAGCACTCCTTCACCGGGTACATGGCTAGCAGCTCGAGCCAATTACAGACAGGTGGCCTGTCGAATGCCCACACCAACCCACTTCCTCCGCCCAGGCAACATTTTCGCTTATCTCCTTCAGCCCACTGACAAGTGCCTGACAGCTATTTTTACATCTTGTGCACTTCACTATCACACAAATCTGCTGGTTCAAGCGTACCAGTTCCAAACAAGGCGGCGAAGTCGGCAAAGAGTAAAGGAACACCTAGAGTAGAGCGCGTTGAAGGCGACTGAACTGATAAAAAAACAGGAAGTCAGTCAGTGGTCAAGGTGGATGCTGCTGAGTACCACTGGAACAGAGGTGTCATGTTGCGATAAGCCAGCGTGTTTGATTGCATCCGGCACAAGATGTGTGTACGGTAAAAACGCACGTGAGCTTGAAGCTGAGAAAGCCACTCAGCGACGCTCGCCCACATACTGCAAAAATGAACCAGAACCACTGGGCAAGACACGGGGGAAAGAAAGGCTTCGATGACAGGGTTGTCACTCACCCAGCTCATTCGCCTGATGTCAACCTGAACGATCCTGCAAAGCGACACTGAACTAGTAGCCAAAGAAAATGTGAAAGACTTGGTGGAAGCAGTGAAGCAAAGCTGAAGCAACTACCCTGGCGCCGGGTGTCGATCGGATAGAAAACGTATTGTACTGAATATTTGGCTCGTTCAAAGGCGTCCAGGAGAGAAGCAGTGACAAAAATTATAGTAACAAATGGAACACTGGTAGCAGAGCTGCTCACAACGAAACCAGCTTCGGCTGGTAAGAAACACGACCGATCGTGCTCATGAAGGAAGTGAAGCGTGTGGCAATGTGTCGATACGAAATATTTGCGCTTCTGGAAAGTGCGAAGTACTACCTAACAACAAGTGCTGCGTTGGCTGATGACAAGGGACGACTTCTACATTTTTCGACTTGGGAAATTTTTTTTTTGATGCGTCAGGCGAAATTACTGGTCAGTCGGCGACACGCATTTTCCACAAAAATTTGCGTTTCACCTGCTGGGAGAGTATGCGTGTACTCGAGTCTCATCCTGAGCACGTTTTTTTCTTCTTTTTTTCAGCTCCAGTATACAGTCAACTTCGCTAATAACGACTGCGGATATAACGACAATTCGCGAATAACGACCGAATTTCCATGCCCTGAGCAAAGTCCCATCTAACTGTATACATTTAACTTCAGATATAACGACTATCTGAATAACGACAATTCGCGAATAGCGACATGCTTTTAGTGCCCCGAGGTCATATTCACTGCTTGAATAACGACTTTCTGGGCTTTTGAATACTATTTCAAGTACCTGTCAGTCAAGTACATGTACCTGTCATGCAGAAGTACCAGAACCTATGGTGATGGATAAAGGCACACATGCAAGAAAATGAAGCCAAGTGGGAGGCTTTTTCTTCCTTTTTTATTTTGGTTTCAAAATTGTTGGATTTACCAGCACACCTATTATGTATACATGTACAGTGTACACACAAAAGGCACAATGGACCATCTCCGCTGGCAAATGGAAGTTTTCCTCATTACATACAGTACAGTGTACATGTAGTTGTACATGATTGTACAGTAATCATCATACAATGTACATGTCCCTGGCCGTGTAGATGGCTCAAAAAGGCATATTTTTCAATTGATTTCCCTTGCATATTGAATTTTTTAGTTCCTTTCAACTGCAATAAGAAAAATAAAGTACACATTGACATAGAGCAAGAAAAGAGCTTGATTTTGATATGCATGTCATACTATACAAAATATCGGTTCACATACATTCAAATGGGACTTCGGTTATAAGGACACTTCGCGAATAACGACACTTTTCTGATGCCCCGCCGAATGTCGTTATTCGCGAAGTTGACTGTAGCTGTATTTTTCATTGCAAAGCCGTCCTCGATTGTTGTGTTCGTTGTTCAAACGAAGTGGACATTCAATCATGAAGGCAGAGGACATAGGAGCCTGATTGGAGCTTCTCGTGGCATAGGACGGCCACACAGAGACACCTCGGGATTTTCTGAATATAAAATACCGTACGCACGATGCTGAGATCAATTTGTGCGATATCAAATTGTTTGTGATATACCACATCGAGCAGAACGGGATCCAAACACAAGCTTACCGACGGTTAGGCTGCTGACCTGACTGGCCAAATGATCCCTGGCTTCACCAGACGCCAGAAGTCGGACACCATGTCCTTTGCCGCGACGTCCATCTCCAAAAAGAACTCCATCTTCGTCATGAAAAGGCTTGAAATACTCAATATTCAACCGAGATTCGCGGTCTCACCCTTTCTCAGATCGAATCATTTTTTGTTGTGGCAGTTGCAGGGAAGATCCCCGCCACTACTTCAACAGGCGATGGCTCCAAAGCATGCCTGGAACAAGCCATATCGAGGTTGCAAGCCACCCCTCTCAGCAAAAAATTCGAAGAAATTCGAAATTTCAATGGTGGAAGATATACTATGAAGAGAATTTGAAAAAGTATGTTTCGCGGAGCGATCGCTCAACCTACGTCATTCAAACTTTGCAGGATGGTTCAGACGTACATGCTAGGCATGGAACCACAGGCGATGATGCCATAGCTGACACACAGAGTAACACACACAGCAGATTTGTGTGCACAGATACTAAATTAGTGGACGTTGTCATCTTCTTCCCGCTGATCTCGAATGTACTATGACGTGCTATTTCGCCTGACGTTCAATGACTCCTCAACTCATTCTGGGCCGCTATAAGCTGTTCTCATAACCTGGAATGTATCAGTAAAAAGTGTAAAGATAAGCGAACATTTTGCTTGGGCGGAGGAAGTACATATCTACTTCAATCCCTTCAAAATGCTGATATATTATCCGAATGCACACAATACGAACCTGTGATAATTGCCGGATTTCCTCCCACCGTCCTGCCCATTGCTGAGTCAGTTGTTCAGCCTGTTTGACAGCAAACCAACACAGCAGTGAAATGCCCCTTTGATTAACTCCTCGAAAACAATGCCTGCAATGCATGAGCAATGCTGGATAGGATATATTGCTAGTTTCTAAGTATATAATACATCCCAACAGTACGCTTGTACGTGAAATATACTTGAACCGATATACAAACCTCGGCTGCGCCTCGGTTTGTATGATGGTTGATATTTCACGTACAAACGTACTAGTGAGATGTAGTATACTTATGCTGACCTTCATACAAACTGACAGTCAACTCATTCTGCTTTCAGCAAGGAACAGTGCAAAAAGCGCATTCCAAGTAGGAGCTCACATTGGACTCTCCATTGCACCTCTGAAAAAATGAGCGAGTTTCAAGTCTGCGCAGTGGAGGTCTGTAGAGCCTCACCTCCGAAAGTAGTCGAAATCAGAAAGTTGGAGAGTGATGACCTTGGAGAACACGCTGTGTTTGTCTTGTTGCTTAGAAACATGTCCGGTTTGCCTGCGCGCCAAAACAGAAAGCTGGCCACACTAGATGCTAAGTACTCATTCCTTCTGTGTCTCTCCTGGGTTCAATTAGTGCCTTCGTGCTTCTTGTTTTCTAGAAAAATGAGTGACAGTGAGCTGCTCAGAAGCGTGTTTTCGGGTCTATCAGCTACGATGACCAGACCAAGCTAATAGCTGAGGGTGTTCCCAAGAACACTCGCATGTCTACTCAGTACTGGCTGCAGTTGCTTGATGAGTTTTGTTTAAGTGGTGACCAGCCTTTAGGTGTCGTTGATTTCAAAAACAGTCACATGTGAAAGACTTTGTGTGGTTCTCTCTTCCTTCTACGCGAATGCAAAGAAGAAGGATGGTTCTGGGTTTGCAAAAACAGTCTTCAGTCTGCCCGCGGTGCTCTTCAGCAGTACATATCGTCATTCTCGAGGCAGACCAACATCTTCAACGACAGTGCTTTCTCAAGGGCGAAAAAGTCATGGACGGCTGTTGAAAGAACGCAAATGCGATGGTCTCGAGCCTGCACTTCAGTACAAGCAACCTCTATCCGACTGGTCTCTTCTAAGAGAATACTTCTCCAATGTACTGGAAACAACAGATGTGCGCAAGCTGACGTACTTCGTGTGGTTCCAGCTAACCATCCACTTCTGTTTGAGGGGTGGAGAAATGCAAGCAAAGCTGACGAAGGACGATCTCCAATTCATGACCATCGATGGCCAGGAAGTCTTGCGTTTCGCAACATCATTTGTTTCCAAAACCACCAAGGCGGTCTTCAAGTCTCTGACTGGTCTTCTGCTGGAGTAATCCGTGATGAGTTTCAGCTGTCGACAATCAAGCGCTATCTGTCGAGGCTACATCCAGACAAAAACCGCTTGTTCCAACGAGCACTATCAGGTGAGATGGCCAATTTTGCCAAGTGCTGGATCATAAAAATGCCTCTTTATCTGGTATGATGAAGTGTTTGTCTGCATATGCTAATTTGTCCATGCTGTATACGAATCACTGTGTAAAAGCAACATCTATTACCAACATGAAGAAATGCGGAGTAGATGATAGGCAAATTTGTTCCATTTCTGGGCATTGAAATGTTCAATCTCTTACCGCTTATGATAGGCCCACCTTGAAAGATTCCTGTTCCATGGCTGAAGCTATTGATTTGCGACCGCCTATTGCTGACATGTCAAACCATTCTGCGCAGCCTGTTACACCCACCCCTGTTCAGAGCTGTTCTTCTACTGATCAGAGTTCTTCTGTTTCCTCTGCTGTTCAGTGATCTGCTTCTGCGGTTTCTCCTTATCTAAATGCTGCTTCCACCACTTTCAATGGCAGCTCCATTGTTTTAAATATTCACACAGAGCGTGCTGCTGTCGCTCGCAAGAAGTTGAAGCGTAAGCGTTCTCTCCCACCCCCTTCTGCCTAGGTGATTTGATAACACTTTGAAGCTAGTTTCCTCCAGTCTGTAAAAAGGAGTTTAGGCCGCAACCACACTGCGTAAAAATCACAGTACACATTTTCGTGTATATCTCAGTACAAGTCGGAACGCAACCACACTACACTTTTCGGTCCCCGTAGATGTCGTTTTCACTGAACCAGCATGTGACTTTGTCGTACCAAAGCGTGTGCCACGCGCTGGAAAAGACCGGGAAATTCAAAAACAATGATGGTATGCTGATGCTATACGTACGGCGACTACAGTGCGGTTTTTTTAAACAGATATTCGTCTATTTTGATTTTTTTAGTTTGTTCTCATTCCAAATTTGAAATTTTTCTTCACAGCTGCGTTTGTGTGGGTCTTGGATCGAAGAAAATTAAGTAATAATTGGCAAAGTTAGATATTAGGCCGGGTTTGGGCTGAAAATCCGGTTTTAAAATGGTTTTCAGTGGATTTTGATTTTTAAGGTAACAGCCTGGTCCTAAATTTCATATGGCATTCAATTGACCGTAACTTTGGTGTCTCTCAATGGATTTAAGTGAAATTTGCACCACACACTCCTGCCACTATGCTGGCCCTCTGGACATGATTTAAAAGTTCTTGCGCCTCACTGACAGGCTTTACAGGCCGGAAAAACTCAAAATTCCAGCATAGTGCCACGGTTGGCGAGCCACCCAGGAGCCAAACAAATACATTTACAATTTTTTCACATTTCCTAGCCAGTTCTGTCCGTGCGCAGGATCCAAACCTAAAAAAACGTCCAGAAGCAGCCATGGGTGGTGGGATAGGGCCCTTCAACGTGGCCCTGGAATCTGTCACAACGGCAGGAGGGGGCGTTCTGTCACAGACTCCCACAGACCCAAGTCAATTTTTGAATTTTTTTAGGTTCAGGGCGTGCTACGAGGTCGTACCTTTGATACAACATCCAGTGCTGGGACCTCCACAGCAAGCCATTTCCACAACGCTTCAAATCGAATCCAGGATACCCTCCAAAATCGGCAAAGACTACCACTCACGTTCCACCACTGCCTCGTACTGAATCCTACCTGACTTCTTGACACGACTCAAACTTGCCAAAGTCACTAAATCAACGTCAACTACAATAATCAAGCCACATATCTGCAATGTCACGAGGGTGCTGGCAAAAGTCCTGCTGCACGGCGCCGTGCAGCCCGATACGTGAATTTTTAACGTGATTTTTTGGACTTTTTTGGACTTGGAGCAAAATTCTGCACACTTTCACGTGTTTCCATGATACGACAAGTTGCGCACGGTCTGCTCACATTCAAATACAGTGCTGCCAACAAATGACAGCGTGCAACAAAAAAATCTTTCCCTGCAAAGGCACATTTTCGGCCATAACTCTTGAACGGCTGGTCAGATCGAGACAAGATTTTCAGAGATTTTGCAGCTACTCATGCTCTTTCAACTGATGTAGCACTCGATATGAATTTACAAATTCGATTTTTCAGTGATTTTACGACCAGGCTGCCACCTTAAAGGGGAAGTTAAGGCTAAAATCAAAATTTCACCAGTTGTAGTCTTCGGGGTGCTGAGTCGAATGGTCGTGGTCCGAGGAAGCTGAGACGCTCCCATAAAGTAGGAAGGGAGCGTCTCAGCTTCCTCGGACCAAGACCATTCGACTCAGCACCCCGAAGACTACAACTGGTGAACATTTGATTTTATTCCCCTTTAAACGGAAGTTTTAGCCAGGAAACCTCATCAAGTGCACGGTGCCCGGCAGAGTTCGAATCCAGTACAGTTCATCTTGATTTTTTTCTTTTTCAGTATTGTACAGCGCATGCATGTATGTGCAGTTGTGCACTGCTGTCTGCAGTTCTCCTAACCTTTGTAGGAAACCAGTGAGTCGTAGCTTTTCACGACTTCCTCTGGCAAACTGTACTGAATAATTCAAATGCTGTATTGCAATTAGCTCAATCAATCAAAACATTCCATGTGTCATGACCCGGATCAGACTCGTCGTGAAAGCGACCATGCATTGAGTTCAGCAGCCAAAAGCTGGGCTACTATATTGGTCGTCTACCTGGGTAGCCACTAGGCTGATCTAAGCCAGGTCACAAACCCGCCAACGCGCGGCCATGACACATGCATGCATGCAGGAAACTTCCCTCGATCCCTGAAAGAATGCAGTGAAAATTCAAACACCACAACAAATCACAAGGGCAATTCACACAACTCCCATAAAGAGACTAACAAAAAGGAAGCAATACATGACCGCTTTTACAAACACACAAACACACAAACACACACACATACACACACACACACACACACACACACACACACACACACACACACACAAAATGCAAATAGGTCACAGTTGTGTCTGGTTCAACATCTGCGACTAGTAGAAGACCAGCGAGGATCGAAACGGCCCCAATAATTCCGTGTTTTGTGTTGCACTTGTGACGACAGTATTACACAGTGAACAGATGCGCCAGGACAGCCGACGACGCATATTATCGTTGGCGTCGGCCTCGTCAGTCTCAAGTCACGAACACATCCCGTCCACCAGCACGCAGAGCAATAATGCGCTTGCCTTTACCTGATGGTGCTTCATTTGGTTGCTTGGCTACACTCCTTTCACCATTGTCGTACCACCTCCTAGTAACTGTGTGACGTGCATCCAGGTACACAATCGGCTTGCCTTGAGAACGAACTTCTCTAATGTCTCACAGGTAGCGATGCCGCCATGACACAATCTCGGGTTGTTCCATCATTATGTGTGTGATACCTCTGGTCTTGCCACACCGGAATCCCATGGAACGCAACATTTTCCAAGAGCTAGTTTTGCTCATGTCTGGAAAATCGTTGATGGCTTCTCTGCAGCGAGCAGAAACTTTGTCCAGTGTTGGGTGCTCCTTCGCAGCATAGAATTCGTGAATCACTTGCATGTCTTATACAGTCCAAAGCAAATCCGTCAGGGTTGAGTGGTTTCATGGCACGAGTCTCACATTGGGGATTGTCACTCTCGTCACCTTCATCACTGGAGACAGACAAGGCCAACGCAGCACGCTGATTTTCGCCATCAGCATCCCTGGTACATCTGTTC